GGATAAACAGTCAATGTATGACAGCTTCTGGCAGACAACCACAACGCTGACGCAAAGTAAGAACTCAACTCAACTAAATATAGAACATAACTTAACTGAAGGATAAGAAGGGATCTTCTGGGGAGGAGGACCGATAACTCTGTGGAAGTAAATATGGGTGTTTCAGTATTGTTTTAAGACCATGTGAACCTGTCTTAACACGATGTGCCTGACTTTGTATTATGTGTTTGTATCTGCTCCTCCTGTCCTCTACAGAAAAGGATGAGCTTTGTTTTTGTCAGACTTGATATTTCCAGTGCAGACGAGCTCACGTCGTTGCACCTCAGTAGTTGAATCCGAGGTGTTAGACTTCAAGAAGCTCCTGGGTGAAGAAAAGAAAACATCGAGTGTAATATTGAGTACTCTGTGAGAGCTTTTCGCCTCAAGGAACACAGAGTGCAAAATCAATTGTGTTTGATTTACCTTTTTCTTGCTCCTCTCGCAGGGCTCCTCGAAACTTTTGTGGATGTCGTGTCGGCCCGGACGGCGGTGGGCCACGACGCCGAGGGCAGACTGATCCTGTTTCAGATCGATGGACAGACTGGGAGAAGAGGGTAAGAGCAGCTCCCTCTGCTCTACTAAACATCTGCTCAGCTAGATGAATGAAATGGAAGTATTATATTTTTATTTACCACCCAGTAAGTGGATGAAAGAGTGAGTCCTCTCTGGGGGAAGAGAGAGCGAGCAGACACAGATGTGGACGTGAGAAAAAACACATGATAATTTATTCCATTAACACAAAGTGACTCACGGGCCTTTGAGTCAATACAAAGTGCCCCAAGTAGGAATTAAATATGCAGGGTTTGATTTTGCATGCCTGAGCCAAACACAAAAAACAAGCTCTACGCTCTTTGGAGTTTCTTTATCTGTTCACTGTGGATAGATCGTTCATCCCAGATCTTCTGTTTGACATGGTTAGCTTAAATAAAGGCTGTAAGGGTGTATATAGTATATATCCTGAATGTACGACTAAGTAATCACTACTACAGACTCACTGTGGGCGGTACTGTTAAGGTATTATGATTGGTTGTGGTTTAAAGCCCAGCCTTAAAGCCTTGCATGTTTTTAGAACAGGTTTCATTTTGGCACATGAACATCAAAGAAGACAAAATAAAATGCAAAAAAACAAGGAAACAGAAACTTAAATGTAACAAAGAATCTTATTCAGCCTGTCTGTTTGCTTCCTGATTGGTTTGATGTTACAAGGAAATAATAAAGAATAAAACCAGCAGTAATAATCTTAAAACAGGTTGTGAGATCAGTGAAATGTGTCCACAAAGTCATTCAGTTCTTCTACATACAAAACATGACAAGCTACAGAAGATTAACATGGATCTGACAGTTATTGTCTACTAGAGAGCGGTTTGCTTCCTCATATTTATGTATTTCCTTTACAAACAGGCAGTTCAGGAGGGACCTGAATGTTTGTTACGTCCTCCCAGTCCAGCAGCTGTAGTGGATCCATTAGTGGACTCTGCCGGACTGAATGGATCATCTGATGCCGACAGAGGACAGTTTGATGACAGAGAATAAAGTGATGAGGTGTTTTTGTGCCAGTTTTGGCTCCTGCCATCCTACCAAGCTAACTAGTTAACGACATTTAATATCACAGTTAGCGACAGTTAGCTTCTTCTATCTGGAAACTCCCATAAATCACCTCGGCACGCTGTCGTCAAACTGTCCTCTGTCTGTCTTTGAGGTTGTGTTCACTGGGAGGCAGCTACATTAGCAGTAAGCGGAGTTGAGGCAGAGCAGCCGGAGGACGTCAGAGGGAAAACCAGACAATATTCTCTCCATAAAATCTGCTCCAGTTTCACCCAAATCACTGATAAATTTGTGTGTTTGAGTGTTTCTCTGCAGAAACTGTGCGACAGTCATTAGACTGTACAGGAGGTGACCCGTCATGTTGGGAATAATTGATTCCCTGGTACTTACGGTACTGTAGAAAAGTGTGTACCGTCACGTTTTCAGAACTTTGGCATCGACTTGGTACAGAAATATCTGTTATCGTGACATCCCTACTCCCAAGTCATCAAATACTGCA